TTCCTTTGTCCTCCACCTCGGTGGTTGCAAATCTTTGGTTTGTGGCCAGATCACTAGTCTACAAAGCCCTCATCTTCAAATCTCTCTCTGAATCTATCTTCACACTGCCTTCTCGAGTATTTGTGTTTTTTTTCTGTCTAAGGACATTTGTGTTGGCATTTTGGGCTCATTCACTAACACAGGATAATCTTCCCATCTCAAGATCCTTAATTTCATTTGTAAAATCCCCTTTTCCAAATAAGGTAGCATTTACAGGTTCTAGGGATTAGGACCTATATCTTTGGGGGCCATTATTCAGCCTACTACAATCATCAGGCATATTTTCATGAATGTGCACTATGATATAGAGATTCTAAGAATATGTAGAGTATAGGATCCTAGGACCCTATGAATTTATAAACTCAATTTGCTTTTTTTTTTTTTTTTAAGATTTCATTCATTTATTTGAGAGAGAGTTTGAGCAGGAGGAGAGGTGGAAGGAGAAGCAAGACTCCCTGCTTAGTAGGGAGCCTGATATGGGGCTAAATCCCAGGATTCTGGGATCATGACTTGAGCCAAAGGCAGACACTTAACCAACTGAGTCACCCAGGTGCCCCTCAATTTGCTTTTTATTTGAAGCCCATGACAGGATCAGACTTTGGATTTGTTTTTCAGAAATATTGACTGTAGTTAAAAGAGATAAGTTGTTTTAGGGGTGTCATAGAAGCTTTCTGTACCTTACCTGGAATATGGGCTGTGAATATAGGGTCTCCAGTTTATTATTTTCATTCTTCAAGTTTTCTAGTTATTGTAGAAGCAATAAGTGAACAACACTATATGCCAATTTGCAGTAAAATGTGGCAACAACTACTTGATCACTCAAACCCTTATGTTGAGTATAGATATTTACAGGCAGTAGTTTAAGTGATTTTCTGTCTTAGCATGGTGAACTACTAGTATCTCTTTCACCACTGGTAATAGGGTCATTAATGGCCTTAAATCGAGTCGGATCAGGAAGCTGCTTACAGATTATTCTCAGTGGTTCTGTTATACGAACCACATTTGGTACCAAAAACTATTATCAGTCAAGGTTCAGTAGAGAAATAGAACCTTTCACTATTATACAATAAGGGATTTATGATAGGAATAAGACCTTTCACAATTATGGGGAAAGTTGGGGAAGTAAAGATCTGAAAAGAGAGTGTTGGGGGGAAACAAAGGGTATTGAAAGATCCTGAAAAGTCACTAAGCAGCCTTCTTGAATGTCTAGTGTGGGTACAAAGATCAGAGCTTTGAAAGGAATCTAGGAAACAAGGCATATCCTATAGCCAGAACTGGACCATGTAATCGAGCCGATGGAAAGGTATATAGAAAGCTGTCCTCCCTGTGTAGCAGTCTTTCTCTGTCCACAGTCAAGAGTCTGGTGGAGACCCCAAGATTGCTAGAACTCATACAGCAGTTCGGCAATGTGGCAGGATACAAAACCAATGCCCAGAAATCAGTGGCATTTCTGTACACTATCAATGAGACTGAAGAAAGAGAAATTAAGGAATTTCTTAAGAAAAGCATAAGATACCTAGGAATAAACCTAACCAAAGAGGTAATGGATCTATACCCTAAAAACTACAGAACACTTCTGAAAGAAATTGAGGAAGACACAAAGACATGGAAAAATATTCCATGCTCATGGATTGGAAGAATTAATATTGTGAAAATGTCAGTGCTGCCCAGGGCAATTTACATCTTCAATGCAATCCCTATCAAAATACCATGCATGGACTTTCTTCAGGGAGTTGGAACAAATAATTTTAAGATTTGTGTGGAATCAGAAAAGACCCCAAATAGCCAGGGGAATATTGAAAAAGAAAACCAGAGCCGGGGGCATCACAATGCCGGATTTCAAGTTGTACCACAAAACTGTGATCAGCAAGACAGTGTGGTACTGGCACAAAAACAGACACATAAATCAGTGGAACAGAAAAGAGAACCCAGAAATGGCCCCTCTATGGTCAACTAATATTCGACAAAGCAGGAAAGACTATCCACTGGAAAAAGGACAGTTTCTTCAATAAATAGTGCTGGGAAAATTGGACAGCCACATGCAGAAGAATGAAACTGGACCATTCTCTTACACCATACACAAAGATAAACTCAAAATGGATGAACGATCTGAATGTGAGACAAGAATCCATCAAAATCCTAGAGGAGAACACAGGCAACACCCTTTTTGAACTTGGTCACAGCAACTTCTTGCAAGATACATCTATGAAGGGAAGGGAAACAAAAGCAAAAATGAACTATTGGGACTTAATCAAGATAAAAAGCTTAAGCTTCTGCACAGCAAAAGAAACAGTCAACAAAACTAAAAGACAACCTACAGAATGGGAGAAGATATTTGCAAATGACCTATCAGATAAAGGGCTAGTATCCAAGATCTATAAAGAACTTATTAAACTTAACAGCAAAGAAATAATCCAATCATGAAATGGGCAAAAGACATGAACAGAAATTTCACAGAGGAAGACACAGACATGGCCAACAAGCACATGAGAATATGCTCCGCATCACTTGCCATCAGGGAAATACAAATCAAAACCACAATGAGATCCCACCTCACACCAGTGAGAATGGGGAAAATTAACAAGGCAGGAAACAACAAATGTTGGAGAGGATGTGGAGAAAGAGGAACCTTCTTGCACTGTTGGTGGGAATGTGAACTGGTGCAGCCACTTTGGAAAACTGTGAAGAGGTTCCTTAAAGAGTTAAAAATAGATCTGCCCTACGACCCAGCAATTGCACTGCTGGGGATTTACCCTAATGATACAGATGCAGTGAAACGCCGAGACACCACCCCAATGTTTATAGCAGCAATGTCCACAGTAGCCAAACTGTGGAAGGAGCCTTGGTGTCCATTGAAAGATGAATGGTTAAAGATGTGGTGTATGTATACAGTGGAATATTACTCAGCCATTAGAAATGACAAATACCATTTGCTTCGACATGGATGGAACTGGAGGGTATTATGCTGAGTGAAGTAAGTCAATCAGAGAAGGACAAACATATGGTTTAATTCATTTGGGGAATATAAAAAATAGTGAAAGAGATTAAAGGGGAAAGAAGAGAAAATAAGTGGGAAGTATCAGAGAGGGTGATGGAACATGAGAGACTCCTAACTGGGAAATGAACAAGGGGTGGTGGGAGGGGAGGTGGGCGGGGGGTTGGGGTGACTGGGTGACAGGCACTGAAGGGGGCACTTGGGATAAGCACTGGGTGTTATACTATGTGTTGGCAAATTGAACTCCAATTAAATAAATAGATAGATAGATAGATAGATAGATAGATAGATAGATAGATAGATAGTCTGGTGGAGAGCATGAGCCTGTTTTTGTGCAGAAGGATCAGCAGTTGTGAAGAAGAGCTGACCTAGAGCAGGGAAGATTGAGGATAACTGGAACCTATTTCTCTGTTTCTGTTTTACCACGTTTAACCCTGAGTATTTTCTGGAAGTGATGGCTCTTGTGTCTTTCAAGTTTTATGCAGACTTTGTATTTAGGCAATTTTAACCTAGCACCATACAGATTAAGGGACTTTGGGAAATATATTTGAGTTTAAGTTGACATAGGTATCATCATTTTCCTATGATATTTTTCTCTTGTACCCTAAGTCATAGCAGTTTACATACTTATACTATTTCTTGAGTTATTTGAATAATTTGTCTTCCAAGCTAGAGGATAAACTTCATGAAGAAACAGACTGTATTTGTCTTGTGCAACATTGTGTAACCAGTTCACAATGCCTGAGCATTGTATGTATTAAATATTAGTGGCAAGTTACAGAGTTATATGGTACCTTTATTTTTCACTTCTACCCCCAATCTCCTTGGTATTGAATATTTATTAACAGTTAGTGCCTGTGGACCTTACCTGGCATTTATACTAGTCTCTGTTGTTTTAAAAATAACTTTTTTTTTTCTTTTAATAGAATATCTTAAAAAGGGCGGGGGGGGGGGGGGTGCAGCCCTGGTAGCTCAGTGGTTTAGCGCCGCCTTCAGCCCAGGGTGTGATCCTGGAGACCCAGGATCCGGTCCCACGTCAGGCTCCCTGCGTGGAGCTTGCTTCTCCCTCTACCTGTGTCTCTGCCTCTATCTCTCTCTCTGTGTCTCTCGTGAATAAATAAATAAAATCTTAAAAAAAAAAAAATAGGGGGATCCCTGGGTGGCTCAGCGGTTTGGTGCCTGCCTTTGGCCTGAGGCGCGATCCTGGAGTCCCAGGATCGAGTCCCACGTCGGGCTCCTGGCATGGAGCCTGCTTCTCCTTCCTCCTGTGTCTCTGCCTCTCTCTCTCTCTTTCTCTCTCTCTCTCTCTCTCTCTCTCTCTCTCTCTCTCTCTCTCTCGGTCCGTCTTAAATAAATAAATAAATCAATCTTAAAAAAATAGAATATCTTTTAACTTCTGTCTTTAGCTTTAAGTGGAGGAAATGGCTATAGCAGAAAGTGGTAGAGCAGTTTAGCACAGATATGAGGAATGGGAAATTGAGGCACCACACATTCAAAGGGGATCTTAGAGCTATACTAATTAGATCATTATGTTTTCTAAATTACTGACATTATATAAAGACTACTATAATACTGAACAATTTTTAATCTAAAAATTATAATGCAAATAGGTTTTGTATTTGTATAGTTGAAGAAATATTTGAGTATTATGGATTTTACTCCGTGTAAGAATGGAAATTCTGCAGTAGTGAAAGAGCAAGTTAAAAATTGACAGTGCTGTAATTTACATACTGGTGATACTTGCCTTATGTAAACAGACACCTGACACATTGAGGAAGAAAGGAAAGGAGAAACAATGAAAAGTTGTTTTACTTAGAATGTAATAGGAACCTTGGAAAGTAAAGAGTTGATTCTTAAGTTTTACTGAGCAGGATTGTGCTTTTTCTTCAACACTTAAAAGTGAACCAGTTTAGTGGAAGTTATGATTTCTATCATAGAAACAAAATTGATTATACCAATCGGATAAATTATCTTTGACTCATTTTTCTTTCACTTAAAAAAGTAAAATTTTTTGAATTTTCCATAGCATTATTATGGATTTCAAGTATGACATATTGTTGCTACTTTTAGGAAATGCTGTGGCTAATTTTGAGGTAGTTTGAAAGGAAGATATAAATATCAGTGGTCAGAAGTAAAGGCAGTGTGATTAATTTTGTCATTATTTAGCATTTAGTTATAGGTTGCAGCTTTAAAGTTTGGCATCATGGAAGAAAATGGACAAAAAATTGCAACTGAGGTCAGTATTTTTGTATGTATTTATTTGCTTTTTCTGTTCATTTACTTGGGAAAATCTTAAAAGATCTATGTTTACCAATAACTGTTTCTGACTAGCATATAATGTGAACTTTTATTTACCTAGCACTTTATAATTTTCATATGTTTTCATATGTACTCTATTAAATCATTAACCTCTAGTAGATTATTATACTATGTACTTATGGAGTATAGTTCAGAACTAGTGTTTAGAAAATGTAAATATAGCTTACTCTAAAAACCATAAGTTAAGAAATTTAGCCTTTTGTTTTTACAATTGAAGCAAATTGATATGCAGAATTTCTTAGGTATGTAATAGTCTTTAAAACTCTATGTAAATTTTATTATAATTTAAAAACATTGACAAAACTTTTGGTCTTTTAGGACTTTTAGTAGCTGGAGGCATATCAGCAAAATACAGATATTCTTGTTTCAGCAGAAATAGTGGGCTTCATATACAGTCCTAAAAATTATATGCATATACATTGATAAGCTATTGGAATAAGTGTATAGCTAGACTGATTTTCAGATTTACCTACAAGGACCTATCTGTGCCTGAAAAGATGAGTAAAAATTATTAGTATATAATGTTTTGAATATTTCAAAATTTAGTTAATGCATATCTAATGCAATTAATGATGGTATATAAACTCATTTCTCACTAATCCTGATTAATGTGGAGGTAGAGGTGGTAGCAGTAGTGTACATTAATCATACATATAATTCATGTAATCTTTATTTTTAAAACATTTTAAGCCTTTAAAGTAACTCAGAATTAACATTGTAAAGCAAATATCTTTGGAAGCTACTTTTTAAAGAAAACGAAGGACATCTAATTAGCATATAAAATGTACTTATTTTGTACTTTCTAGTGTGTTTGCAAAACCTTTTTTTTTTTAAGTATGTTCCATGCCCAGCATGAAACCCAATATTGGCCTTGAACTCAAGACCCTGAGATCCAGACTTGAGCTGAGATCTAAAGTCAGCGGCTTAACTGACTGAGCCACCCAGGCACCTGTAAAACCTTTTTGTTCTTAAGATTACTAAATAATTACTAGAATCTCTTTGGACTCTAAAGAGGATTACTAATATTTTTTTGTGCAAAATGTAAAAATAAATTCTAATCAAGCTGTCATCCAAACTCATCAGATCCCAATGAATGAAGTTTTGTTGTACATTTTGCCCCAAGAATTGAGATGAGATTTAAAAATAATAAAACAACAAATAAACGAATAAATAAATAAATAAAATAACTTTATAAATACCAAACTTATCTAACAATTCAGAGGAAAAATAATGATTAGAAAGCAAATGCAGGGATCCCTGGGTGGTGCAGCGGTTTGGCGCCTGCCTTTGGCCGAGGGCGCGATCCTGGAGACCCGGGATCGAGTCCCACGTCGGGCTCCCGGTGCATGGAGCCTGCTTCTCCCTCTGCCTGTGTCTCTGCCTCTCTCTCTCTGTATGACTATCGTAAAGAAAAAAAAAAAAAGAAAGCAAATGCAAGGGATCCCTGGGTGGCTCAGCAGTTGAGCATCTGCCTTTGGCTCAGGGCATGATCCTGGAGTCCTGGGATCAAGTCCCACATCGGGCTCCCTGCATAGAGCCTGCTTCTCCCTCTGCCTATGTCTCTGCCTCTCTCTCTGTGTCTCAGGAGTAAATAAATAAAATCTTAAAAAAAAAAAAAAAGCAAATGCAAGATTTATTAGAGTGACTAAACCCTGAAATATTCCTTATGTAAAGTACTTTTAGAAGTACTAGCAGTGTGATTGCTATATCAAATCACACATACAAAAGGTTATGTTTATAAATTATTATGATGCAATAATTAAATACCATTAATTGTACAATAGTTCATTGTTATATATGCTATAATTATATATATGTTCAGCCTATGATTTAAAAATTCAGGCAAAAGTTTTGGATGAAACAATTGAAATTAGATTAATAGAATCATGTGGGTGTGTGTTAGAACTGGAAGAGACTTGAGAAATTGTAAAGTATTAAATTTTAGAAAAATAGCTTAAGATTCTTGTGCCTTACATAATGTTTAGGAGCTACTTGTTGAAAGATTTTAAGGAAATTTTTAAATTTTTAAATTTAAATTTTTAAAAGGAAAAGGATGCTGAATATTTATAATGGGTAAATAAGAGGTCTACTCTGATGGAATATTAGAATTGTTAAAAGCAATGAGCTAGTCTATATAGCACATAGCAAAAACAGTGCTGAATAGAGTAAGGAAAATGCTGAATAATCTATATATATAGTTTGATACCGTGTGTGTGTATATATATATGTATATTAATGTAATTATGACTTACAATTATATCTATATATGTATCAGCATTTTTCAATAGTAGACTAGAAATACATACTCTAAACTCATAATAGGTTCCTACTGGGAGGGAAAAAGGAATAGGACTTAGAGTTGTGGCTTAAAGGGGACTTTGCCTTTAGTTGTAATGTTTTATTCCTTTACAAAAAGAAAGATAAACAAATGTGACAAAATTGAGACATCAGTTCTGGATGTTGGAATTATGGATATTTACTATGTTCTTCATACTTCATTGAATTTTAAAATTCTATTTTTCCCCCCTCAAGAAAGATCTATCTTTTAGGAAAAGGTGGAACTTTGTAATTACAAGACTTTATTTTCCATGTTACTAGGAACCCCCCAAAATTTTTGAAAACTTTTAAGTAGAAATATGAAATGCTCTATGACTTTGCTACTAGAGTCCTGGGTTTAGGGATTTCCAAAAAAACTGAAATAAAAATTATTGATGAAATATATACCAAAATATCATTAGATGTCTTTGTACAATTGATTACGGTTCAAATTTTTACTAATTAAAATGTTTCTACATTTTTCCAAGAATATACTGCTTTTTAAAATAAAGTAATAAATGCTATATTTATTTATTTATTAAAGATTTTATTTATTTATTCATGAGAGACACAGAGAGGGGGGGGGCAGAGACACAGGCAGAGGGAGAAGCAGGCTCCATGCAGGGAGCCAGACGTGGGACTCGATCCCGGATCCTCAGGATTAGGCCCCGGGCTGAAGGCGGCACTAAATCGCTGAGCCACCTGGGCTGCCCCAATAAATGCTATTTTTAAAGAACAGAACAAAATTTCATTCTGATGACTAATCAAGAAGAGTGCATTTTTCAGGCTTTAGCTATTAAGATGAAAGTGGAACATCTAAGCATCCTTGTTCTTCTGATCCTGCTATAAATCTGAGAGCCTCATTGAACCCGAAGTGAGTTCAGGGAGCTTACTAACCAGGGACCTAAGAAAAACGTGGACAGTAATTTGTTGACTGGTTTGTAAGGCTTTGATAGTAAATCAAAAAAGCTACATTTGTGAGAGAACTTAGCACAGTTTCTTGTTGATCAATACTTGAAAGGATTAAAAAAAGAGGGAATTAGGTGGCAACAGAAGAAAATGTAGGGAGGACTAAAATTAAATCTTAAACATGAGGTTGTTTAGAGTTTGTGTGTTCAATGGTAGAAAATATTGTACACTTTAAAATGAAGAAACAATATTAATCTTACAAATTATAGAAGTAGATTATGATCTTTGTTTTGGTAGATTTCATATTTATGGATTTGCTGTGAACTTATGGTCTGTATTAAATGAAAATATTTAGTTTTATCTGCATTGTACTGTCATCCTTGTAGTGTGTATAGCTTCTTTTTTTTTTTTTTTTAAGATTTTATTTATTTGTCCATGAGAGACACAGAGAGATGCAGAGAAAGAGGCAGAGACACAAGCAGAGGGAGAAGCAGGCTCCATGCAGGGAGCCCGATGTGGGACTCGATCCTGGGTCTCCAGGATCAGGCCCTGGGCTGAAGGCAGTACAGTAAACTGCTGCGCCACTCAGGCTGCCCGTGTGTATAGCTTCCTACCCTGAAAGCTCTCTGAACCTCATACTAGTGGAGGTTTTTGTTTTTGTTTTTTTTTTTTTTTTTTAATTTTTGTTTATTTATGATAGTCACACAGAGAGAGAGAGAGGCAGAGACACAGGCAGAGGGAGAAGCAGGCTCCATGCACCAGGAGCCCGACGTGGGATTCGACCCCGGTCTCCAGGATTGCGCCCTGGGCCAAAGGCAGGCGCCAAACCGCTGTGCCACCCGGGGTTCCCAAGACCAAGTATTAGAATAAAATATGTTCCTAGTTCTTTTGTCACTTAGGAATTTACAAGGGTTTCAGGATCCCTGTGTCAGGAGGTAGGGGCATAGACCAATATATATTTTTTCTATTATCTCACATACTTTAAAAAATACCTTGTAAGGGGATCCCTGGGTGGCGCAGCGGTTTGGTGCCTGCCTTTGGCCCAGGGCGCGATCCTGGAGACCCGGGATCGAGTCCCACGTCGGGCTCCCGGTGCATGGAGCCTGCTTCTCCCTCTGCCTGTGTCTCTGCCTCTCTCTCTCTGTGACTATCATAAATAAATAAAAATTAAAAAAAATACTTAAAAAAAAAATACCTTGTGAGAGGGATCCCTGGGTGGCGCAGCGGTTTGGCGCCTGCCTTTGGCCCAGGGCACGATCCTGGAGACTCGGGATCGAATCCCACGTCGGGCTCCCGGTGCATGGAGCCTGCTTCTCCCTCTGCCTGTGTCTCTGCCTCTCTCTCTCTCTCTCTGTGTGTGACTATCATAAATAAATAAAAATTAAAAAGAAAATACCTTGTAAGAGACGGTTAACTGTATTAATCATTAAGAACTAAATTATTAAGGTGAATGTATTAATGTTGTATATGCTTGGAAATGGAAAAGCAAAATACTAAAAATGGTATATCCTGGTTTAGAATCTGACCTTTAAGATTTCATTTGAAAAGAAAATAGAGCATTGCTGTTATAACAGGTACATTATGGTCTTAGTTGCACAGAAAAAACAAAAGACTTCCTTGTATAGATTTTCCAGGAGAATCAGGTGCCTATGTCAAATGTAGATTGCTGGCAATTTGCTCTCCTTCCATACAGAGATAAAGGCCACCAGGATGTCCTTTGGAATTCTACAGTAGCATGTAGTGAAAGCTAATAAACCTGATATTTAATTGTATAACTTAATATTTCCAATTAGTAGCTAAATGACCTTGAACAAGTCATCTAACTTACCTGTTCACTATTTTCTTTCTTTTTTTTAAAAAAAATATTTATTTATTTATTCATGAGAGACACAGGCAGAGACATAGGCAGAAGAAGAATCAGGCTCCCTATGGGGAGCCCAGTGTGGGACTTGATCCCAGGACCCCGGGATCACGACCTAGCCAAAGGCAGATGCTCAACCACTGAGCCACCCAGATGTCCTGATGTACCCATTTTAAATGTATAGTTCAATGAGTTACATTAAGTGAATATAACTGTATAACCATTACGTATCAAGATACATAATATTTCCATCACCATCAAAAATCCTTGCTATCCCTTTGCTGTCAACCACCGACCTCAACCCCTGGCCACAGTCAACCATAAATTTGCTTCACTGCAAATAACTTTTTCCCTTTTTAGAATTTCATATAAATGGATCATTATAGTATGTACTGTTTTGTCTGTAAACTTTTTTTTTTGTCTGTAAACTTTTTTGCTCAGTTTCTTTTTAATATTCATTGTGTTTTACCATGCATCAGCATTTCTTTTTATTGCTACGTAGTATTCTATCATAAGGGTGTACCACAGTATGTTTAGTAATTTACCTGTTATTAGACATTTGGGTTATTTCCAGTTTCTGGCTGTTACAAAGAAAATTCCCATAAATAATAATACACAAGTATTATGGGTAAATGCTTTCAAATCTCTTGGATGTTTACCTAAGAGGAGAATTTCTAAGATATATGAAAAGATTATTATTATTTTTAATATAAACTACCAAACTGTTACTCAAAATGGTTGTATCATTTAATATTCCCACTAGCAATGCTAAGAGCTCTGTTTGCTCTAAATCCTCTCCTACATTTGGTAGCATCAATTTTTACAATTTTAGCCATTCTAATAGGTATATAATGGTATCTCATTGTGGTTTTAATTTGTATTTCTCTAATGACTAGGATGTTTAATGTCATTTCATGTGCCTGTTAGCCATTCATTTGTCTTTTTTGGTGAAATGTCTATTCAGATCTTTTATTCATGGGTTGTATTTATTGTGTTGTAAGAGTTTTCTATATATTCTGGATACAAAGCCATTGTCAGATATATGTATTGAGAATATTTTCTCCCATGATGTGGTTTGCCCTTTATTATTTTTATAATATCTTGGAAGAACAGTATAAATTTTGATGATACCCAGTTTATCCATATTTTTCTTTTATGGTTTGAACTTTTTGTATCTTATCTAAGAAATCTTTGCATATCTCACCTGGGTGGTTCATTCGGTTAACCCTCTGACTTTTGGTTTCCACTTAGATCATCTCAGGGTTATGAGGTTGAGCCGCATGTTGGACTCTGCATTCAGTGGGGAGTCTGCTTGAGATTCTTTCTCTCCATCTCCTTCTGCCTCTTCCCCCTTCTCTCTCTCAAATAAATATATCACTTATTTGAGAGAGAGAGAGAGAGAGAGAGAGCACAAGTGACAAAGGGAGATGGAAAGGGAGAGAAACAGACTCCCCACTGGGTGTGGAACCCTACATGGTGCTTCACCCTGTGACCTGAGTTGAAACCAAGAGTTGGAGGCTTAACCCACTGAGCCATCCAGAATTCCCGGTAAATAAATCTTTAAAATAAAAAAAAGGAAAATTTCGCATATCCCTATGTGGCTACATTTCTTTCCCGTTTTCTTCTTGAATAATTGTACCTTTAGCTTTTATGACAGGTCTGTGATCCATTTCTTTCTTTTTTTTTTTTCTGTGATCCATTTCTAGTTAAATGTTTAGTGTGAGATAGATGAGGGTTGAGATTCATTTTGAAAGAATGCAGATATCTTGTTCTAGGATTATTTCTTTTTGTTACCATTGTTAAAGTCATTTGCCTAAATATGAATGGATTTACTTCTGGATTATAATCTGTTGCATTGATCTATGTGTCTGTCCTGTTCTATGTCAATGCCAGTTTTAATTACTAGAGCTTTATGTAAGTATGGAATTTCAGGAGTGAGTTTAACTTCCTTTTTTTTTTTTTAAGATTTATTTATTTATTTGAGAGAGAGCACGCGTGCACATGCTCGAGCGGGGCTGGGGCAGAGGGAGCGGAGAGAGAATCTCAAGCAGACTCCCCACTGAGCTCAGAGCCTGAAGCAGGGCTCAGTCTCAGGACCCTGAAATCATGACCAGAGCTGAAATCAAGAGTCAGACACTTAACTGACTGAACCACCTAACTGCCCCTTGGAGTTTACCTCATTTAACTTTTTTTTTTTTTTAAATGATGCTATTTATTTATTCATGAGAGACACAGAGAGATAGAGAGGCAGAGACACAGGCAGAGGGAGAAGCAGACTCCATGCAGGGAGCCTGACGCGGACTTGATCCTGGGTCTCCAGGATCTGGCCCTGGGCTGAAGGCGGCGCTAAACTGCTGAGCCACCAGGCTGCACTCTGTATAAATTTTAAAATCAGCTTGTCAGTTTCTACCAAAAAAGCCTGTAGGGATTTTGCTTGAGACTGCATTGAATTTCTAGATCAATTGGAAGCAAAGAATGTGACCTTGGGTGGATAGGCAGTAAACTGACTACATACACTGTATTTTCCTTCCTTGAAAGAGGCTCTTAGTGGAGCTTCTCCATGTTTTTTCAACAGTTATAGTGGTTGATAGTGTTGTTCAGATCTTCTGTATTTATACTGGGGGCTTTGGGTGAGTATGTATATATTAATTACTGAGAAAAGTAGGTTACAATCTTATATTATGACTTACGGATTTACTTGCTTTTTCCTTTTAATTCTGTTAGTTTTTGCTTCATGTATTTTGAGTCTATGTTATGAGGTACATATTCATCTATAAAGGCTATATCTTACTGATGTACTACTTTTATATCATTATGAAATTTCCTCATTTAATCCTAGAAATAACTCTTACATAATTTATTTTGCCTGATACTAATTTGGCCTCTCCAGCTTTCTCAGTTATTTTTCTCATGGCATATCTTTTTCCATTCATTTACTTTTTAACTAATCTATTTGTATCTTCATTTTGTTTTTTATTTTTATTTTTTATTTGAGAGAGAGCACAAGCAGTAGAGAGAGGCAGCGGGCGGCCCTGGTAGCGCAGCGGTTTAGTGCCACCTGCAGCCCAGGGTGTGATCCTGGGGACCCTGGATCGAGTCCCACGTCAGGTTGTCTGCATGATACCTGCTTCTCCCTCTGCCTGTGTCTCTGCCTCTCTCTATGTGTCTCTATGAATGAATAAATAAAATCTTTAAAAAAAAAAAAAAAGAGAGGCAGCAGGAGAGGGAGAAGCAGACTCCCCACTGAGCAGGGAGACTTAGTGGAGTTCAGTCCCAGGACTCTGGGATCATGACCTGAGCTGAAAGCAGATGCTTAACCAGCTGAGCCACCCCGGTGCCCCTGTATCCTTGTATTTAAAGTGAGCTTCTTAGAGTCGATTCTGAATTACTTTAGGGAAAATAGAAGAACTTTGCAACTCTTATCGTTAGGGAAAGCTGGATGAAGAATACACAAGAACTCATACTATTTTTAATTCTATGTGAATCTAAAATTATTTCAAGAGTGTTTATAATTCCTTGTTGTTCATGCATTGTTAGTAGTAGCTTCGTTTAAATTCTTGTCTGGAGGATAGTGTGGCACCTGGGTAGCTCAGTGGGTTAAGCATCCAACTCTTGGTTTTTGTTCAGGTCAGGATCTCAGGGTTGTGAGAGCCCCCACTGGGCATGGAAACTGCTTAAGAGTCTCTCTCTCTCCCTTTCCCTCTGCCCCTTCTGGCCTCTCCCTCTAAAACAACAACAACAACAACAAAAAGAAACAAAAAAATTAAAATTCTTGTCTGGTAATTCTAACATCTGTGTCAACTCTGTTGTTATCTTTTAATTGTCCTTACCTATCCTAGTTAAGGTTTTTCCTGTTTTTTTGTTGTTGTTTGGAATGAGGAATATACTCCTTTTGAATTGTATCAAGGACATTTTGGGTGTTATGAGACCTTGGTTCCTACTTAAATCTTCTTTATTAGTAGACAGTGTCACCAGAAGAGGAGGAAGGGTGCTTCCTCTTTGCTGACAATCACCTTGTATCAGGCAGGAATGGTTCATAGGCTCAGCCTCAGTAGTCTTTGTAGCTGTAGCCCCTGGTGGGAGGGAAGAGGGCCACCATCTCTGCCCTCATTAGTGCAGGGTAGGGATGGTCAGCAAGTCTCTGTTCCCTATTACACAGCATCCAGTTAGTAGGGTTCCATCCTGCAGAGCTACTATCTTCCTATTCCTTTCGTTGGAGACAGTGGGTTTTTCTTGGGCCTTTTGTTTATCGTTGCTCTCTACCTGTTGTGGTTCCAGGTTGCAAGTTGTTATGGCAGCCGGGGGTGAGATACATAGGTAACAAAATGTCTCCAGGGAATTCACTGTTGGGTTATCACTCAGGATCCGGGGTCTCTAGCCAGTTTGTCTTATTTTCTTCACCTCCGAACCTTATAGTAGTTACTTTTTTGTCTTTGGTCCAGGGTTTATAGTTGTAATTAGCAGGAAGAAAAGAGTAGAATGTACTTAACTCTACCTTATCTGGAACAAGACATCTCATACTGATTTTTAATATATGTTTCTGTGTTTTCTAATTTTATTTGCCCTGCTTATTTTGTTTTTCAGGCAAATGAAGATAAAACAATGTCTACCAACCTAAAATACCTTTCCTTGGGAATTTTAGTCTTTCAGACTACCAGTTTGGTTCTAACAATGCGTTATTCTAGGACTTTAAAAGAGGAGGGACCTCGTTATCTATCTTCTACAGCAGTGGTTGTTGCTGAACTTTTGAAAATAATGGCCTGCATTTTATTAGTCTACAAAGATAGCAGTAAGTTTTTTGGTTTTCTGCTTTTAAGTCCTTGCAATTCACTTGATTGTTTTGGTGTTATTTACATATGATATATACATAAATATATATTGGTAACTACACATAAGAACACTATTGCCTTATCTACTATTGTCACAGTATTAAGAATATTTCAATATTTTTCATTTCTTTTTTTTTTAAGATTTTATTTATTTATTCATGAGAGACACACACAGAGAGAGGCAGAGACACAGGCAGAGAGAGAAGCAGGCTCCATGTAGGGAGCCCGATGCGGGACTGAATCCTGGAACTCCGGGATCACGCCCTGAGCCAAAGGCAGATGCACAACCCCTGAGCCATCCGGGCGTCCCTCCTTTTTTTTTTTTTTTTTTTAAGATTTTATTTATTTGAGAGAGAGAGCATGAGTGCACATGGCATAAGTGGGGGGCAGACAGAGGGAGAGGGAGAAGCAAACTCCTTGAACAGGGAGCCCAACATAGGGCTCCATCCCAGGACTTGAGCTGAAGGCAGACGCTTAACTCACTGAGCTACCCAGGCGCCCCGTATATTTTTCATTTTCTTAAGACAGTTTTAGTCTAGTAACAAAGATATTTTATTCTGATCTACATTATGATTTTTGTCTTCTGTTTAATGGAATAATTATGAAATATAGTTTCTTGCATTTATAATTGAGAATAAGAGTAAATTCTATAATTATGAAACGTAGAAATTTAGAGAAGTCATAATTAAAGTCAATGCTTTTTATTTTATTTCCTGCATTGATTAGTTCAGCAGTGACTAATTTGATATAGTTTTTTTTGAAACAGCTTTATTGAGATATAATTCATGTACCATACGAGTCACAGATTATGAAGTGTACAATTCTGTGTTTTTTGGGTATATTGCATTATTAATTGAAGTTGTAGTAAAATATATTTTTAGACATATGTATATCATAAATTTTACAATTTATGAATTTTACCATTTTAAAGTATAATTCAGTGGCATTAATTGTATTCACAGTGTTTTTCAACAATCAGCACTATCTGTTTCTAAAACTTCCATCACCAAGCAGAAACTCTATAACCACTAAGCAATAACTCCTCCCATTCTCCTTTACCTTTGCCATTTGGAAATCTCTAATTTACTTTCTGTCTATGAATTGGCCTATTGTAGATATTCCATCTAAATAGGATCATAAAGTGTTTCTCCTTTTATGTCTGGCTTATTTAACTTAATGTTTTCAAGGTTTATCCATATTGTAATATGTATCAGAACCTTATTCCATTTTATGACTAATATTTCATTGTATGTATATGTATGTGGGTGTATATATAAAATTTTAGTCATTAATATATTCATGGGCACTTGAGTTTTCCCATCTTTGGTTCTTGTGTATAATGCTGAAATGAACACTGATTAATACTGCAATAGATGTATAAGTCTCTGTTCAAGCCCTTGCTTTCATATCTTTAGAGTATATACTTTTAGAGTGGAATTGCTTGGTCACGTGATAATTCTGGGTTTAACTTTTTGAAGAGCCACCAGACTTTTCCACAGCATGTTCACCATTTTCCATTCCCACCAGCAATGTCCAAGGGTTCAAATTTCTCTACTTCCTTGCCAACACTTGTTATTTTCTATTTGTTTTTTTAAATTGTAGCACATCCTCACCAAAACTTGTTATTTTCCATTTACAAAAAAAAAAAATGTATAGCTATCCTAGTAGGTATGCTGTGGTATCTTGTGGTTTTAATTTGATTTTTCCTAATGACTAATGATGCTGAGCATCTTTTCACATGCTCATTGACCACTTGTGTATATTTAGAGAAATATCTGTTCAAGTCTGCTTTCCATTTTTTAATTATGTTGTTTGTAAAAGTTGTTTGTATACTTTTGAAACTGTCATGATGGCCAGTGTAGCTGTAGCATATTGATCTGGGAGGAGAATGAAACAAAGAGAAATTGAATTGGCATTTAGAAAACAGACAATGGGGACACCTGGGTGGCTCAGCGATTTGAGTGACTGTGTTCCTCTCAGGGCGTGATCCTAGAGTGCTGGGATCAAGTCCCACATTGGGCTCCCTGCATGGAGCCTACTTCTCTCTTTGCCTGTGTCTCTACCTCTCTCTCTCTGTGTCTCCCATGAATAAATAAATAAAATCAACAACAACAACAACAAAAACAGACAATGTAGGTTAACTTTGTGGGCTAAAAATTTCACCATAAAAACTAAGGGAATAATTGAAATGTTTAAAATATGTCGTGTTTTGTTTTATTTTATTTTTTTAAAGATTTATTTATTTATTCATGAGAGACACACAGAGAGAGGGAGAGACACAGGCAGAGAGAAGCAGGCTCCCTGTGGGGAGCCTAATGCAGAACTTGATCCCAGGACCCTGCGATCATGCCCCAAGCTAAAGGCAGACGCTCAACCACTGAGCTACCCAGGCGTCCTAAAATGTTGTGTTTTACACACAGAAGGGCCAATGCAGTAGCCATATTGACAGCAGAGGAGATACAAGAATACGTTCTGGAAGTCATGTTTGGAAGCTATTGCACTAGTCCAGGCAAGACGATAATGGTGGCTTAGATTACATTGCTAGAGAAGAGGCAATGTTTATGAGATGTTGTTCTGTGAATGGGAGGTATATGCAAAACAGTCTCCAAAGGCTGAAGGAGCTCTAAGACTAAAGAAAAAGGCTGACAAATCCAGCTTGACAAGGGTGTCTTGGGTGGCTGCAAGAGGAGTAGATCTCTGCAATACCACCTCCCTTAAGACCTGCTTTTATAGCTAGCCCCTAGAGGCTAGAGAGTACATGTTGGGGGACAGATCATTCAAGAGGAAAATGTTTAAGAATAGGTGTGGGTCAGTCATATCTCTAAGACAGACTGTGCACATTATATCACAAGAGTGTTCTTAAGGGTGTGGTTAAACAAAAGGAAAGAATGTATGTGTGTGAGTGTCTGTGTGGTGTGTTGGTAGGGTGGGGTCTTCATATCACTTCATATCACAGAATGATAGAATGATCATGGAAGATTTGTCCAAGATGGTGTTGATTTGGTTCACATGGATGTCTTTAAGTTACAGCTGATGTGACTTGCTGTAGATTAGGTGTGTGAAGGTCAAGGAAATGGGGAATCTGGTCTGAGGAATAATTCCTAGGTTTTTAGGTTAAATTACTGGGTAGTAAGTGCTGCAGTGAATGATATATGGACAATAAGTTAAGGGGAAATTAAAGTTTCTCTTTGGGCCATTTTAAATTTGAAATGCCTATAAGGCAATTAAATGGAGATGTTAAGTAGTATAATTATGAATATGGGCTTTGTCAGCTTATATATGTCTTTAAAGTCAAGGATTGGATGAAGTAATTTACTAAATACTGAGAAGAGAAGGCCAAAGACTAAGTTCTGTAGCATTCCTGACATTTAGAGGTCAGATTGAGAAGGAAGAACCAGCAAAAGAAGACTGAGTGAGGGGCGCCTAGGTGACTCAGTTGCTTAAGCACCCCTCTGTTGATTTCGGCTTGGTTCAATCTCATGGGTCCTGAGATCAAGCCCTGTGTCAGACTCTGCACTCAGTATGGAGTCTGCTTGAGCCTCTCCCTCTGCTCCTTGCTCCCCCGCCCCCACTTTCTCTCTCTCATAAATAAATAAATAAATAAGTAAATCTTTTAGGGATCCCTGGGTGGTGCAGCAGTTTAGCGCCTGCCTTTGGCCCAGGGCGTGATCCTGGAGACCCGGGATCAAATCCCACGTCGGGCTCCCGGTGCATGGAGCCTGCTTCTCCCTCTGCCTGTGTCTCTGCCTCTCTCTCTCACTGTGTGCCTATCATAAATAAATAAAATTTAAAAAAAATAAAAAAAATAAATCTTTTAAAAAACCAGAGTTTCACCTGTAAAACAGTCTAGATCTGGTAGTTTTAAAAAAAGAAGATGACTGAGTCACCAGTAAGGTAGAATAAAATTCATATAAATGTGGGGTGCCTGAGTTGCTCAGTCGATTAATCGTCTGCCTTCACCTCAGGCCTTGATCTCAGGCTCTCAGGATTGAGCCTTGCATTGGGCTCCCTGCTCAGCTGGGAGCCTTCACCCTCTCTCTCTGCTGCTCCCCTTGCTTGTGCTTGCTTTTTCCCCCCCTCTCTTTGTGTCAAATAAATAAATAAAATCTTTGTTAAAAAAAATCTATGTAAATGTAATAGGAATGATGAGAAAGTAGTGTTTTTGCTTCTAAGGTCTAGAAGAATGGAAGTATCCACTTATTTAGCATTGTAGATCCAAAATTATGTTTGACAAGTTGGCGTTGTAGAGAGAGGTGATAAAACCAACTCTTAGTAAACCAAAGGACAAATAGACATACATACACAAAAATAAATTCCAGGGACATCTGGCTGGCTCGGTCAGTAGAGTGTGCAACTCTTCATCTCAGGATCTTGAGTTTGAGCCCCACATTGGGCACAGAGATTACTTTAAAAAAAAAAAAAAATCCCAGTAGGTTAAAGATTGACATTTAAAAAGCAAAACTTCAGGACCTTGGTACTGTGAATTATTTCAAATAAGATACAAAAAAAAAAAAAATACATAGGACTTGTTAAAAAATGGATAATTTGGGGTACATTTGAAAGAAAAGTACCTGTACATCAAACCAAGTGAGAAAATAAGCCAGAGATTGAGAGAAAATATTTATATCACATATAACCACCAATAATGAATATCCAGAATGTCAAAGAGCTTAAACAATTCAGTAAGAAAAAGCCAAACAGCTCAACAGAAAAGTGGACAAAAGATACAAATAGGCAATTAATAGAAGAGAAACCTGAATAGCCAAGAATATATTTAATGATTTTAGGGGCACCTGGGTGGCTCAGTGGGTTAAACATTTGCCCTCAGCTCAGGTCATGTTCCTGGGGTCTTGGGATTGAGCCCTGGATAGGGTAGGGCTCCCTGCTTGATGGGGAGCCTGCTTCACCCTATCCTTCTGTTCCTCCCACTCATGTTCTCTCTTTTTTACGCTATCTCTAATAAATAAATAAAATCTTTTAAAAAAGATTTTAAAAAGATAGATACATAAAAATATATTTATATAAATATATAAAAATGTATAAATATAAATCAACCTCACTAGCAATCAGAGAAATAAAATTAAAGACACAGACTCAATTTTACTATCCTCAGATTGACAAAAATAAAAAGACTGACAATAACAGGAATTGGAAGGAACATGGAATAAGACCTTCCTAAACTGCTGGTGTGAAAAATATGTGATAGCATTAATTATTTAAAATTAAAAATGTTTAAGTTTTATTTTTTTCTAAAAAAATTATTTTTTTTCTGCTAAATCTAAGAAAAAAATCTTATAGTGATTTTTTTTTTGAAATGTTTTATTTATTTATTCATGAGAGACACAGATAGGCAGGTAGAGACACAGACAGAGGGAGAAGCAAGCTCCATGTAGGGAGCCTGATGTGGGACTCGATCCCGAGAGTCCAGGATTATGCCCTGGGCCGAAGGCAGGCTCTAAACTGCTGAGCCACCCAGGGATCTTGGTAATTTTTAATTACATTTTATTTTACTATTATTATTTTAAGGTGAGGAAAGGATAATTATTAGGTATTAATCTTTAAACAATATTTTCATTTTTAAAAAGTTTCCAAGTTTAAGGTTGGGAGAGAAAATCATCTATGAAGTGTTATTATTGGCAAAGTAGTAGGATTCCTTAGATTTCTCCTGTATTTGGGGATTTATGTATCTTTTTTGTATCCCAGGACCCTGGGATCATGACCTAAGCCAAAGGCAGATGCTCAACCTGAGCCAACCAGGTGCCCCCCCAGTTTTAAATTAAATTAAATTTTAATAAAATTGATTTTATTTATTCATGAGAAACACACAGAGAGAGGCAGAGACATAGGCAGAGGGAGAAGCAGGCTCCTCTCAGGGAGCCTGATGCAGGACTTGATCCCAGGATTTGGGATCATGCCCTGAGCTAAAAGCAGACTCTCAATGGCTGAGCCACCCAGGCATCCCTAGATCTAAAAGTATCTTAACATGTAGGCCTGTTTCTATTTTCAGTTGAGAAAACTGAAGCATTGAGAGAGTATGTAACTTATTCAGAGTTAATGATTTTACTCATTTCATGTTTTTTTTTTCTTTTTAAGAATGTAGTCTAAGAGCACTGAATCGAATACTACATGATGAAATACTTAATAAACCTATGGAAACGCTTAAACTTGCTATTCCATCAGGGATATATACTCTTCAGAATAATTTACTCTATGTGGCACTGTCAAATCTGGATGCAGCTACGTATCAGGTACTTAGAATATATTTCTAGTGGCTCTTTTAAGAAACAGACAAACAAACAATAATATTACCTATTTTCTTTTTCAGGTTACATACCAATTGAAAATTCTTACAACAGCATTATTTTCTGTGTCTATGCTTAGTAAAAAATTAGGTGTGTACCAGTGGCTCTCCCTGGTAATTTTGATGACAGGAGTTGCTTTTGTACAGGTAACTATTCAAGCAAGATAAGTATACCTTTCATTTTTATCACAATTTCAAAACCTTATTTATTGTGTATGGAGAATACGGTTCTGTTATTTGTTGAAGTGAGTAAATGCCTGTTCTCACAATTGACATTTTTTGAGGGCTTCCTTTGAGCAAGATACTACATTGGGGCTGCAACTAATAATAAATAAATAAAAATCTGACTGACTTATTTCACTTAGCCTTATACTCTCTAGATCCATCTATGTTGTTACACATGGCAAGATTTCATTCTTTCTTATGCCTGAGTCTACTCTGTATGTATATATAATTTCACTCATATATGACATTTAAGAAACAAAAAAATAAAGAAAAAAGGAGATAAGCCAAAAAACAGACCCTTAACCATACATGACAAACTAATGGTTACCAGAGAGGAGGCAGGTAGGGAGATACGGGAAATAGGTGAAGGGGATTAAGAGTACACTGATCTTGAATGCTGAGTAATATATAGAATTGTTAAATTACTATATTGTACATCTAAAACTAATATAATTGGAATTTAAACAAAGGAATGAATGAATCAGTGAAATTCTTAAAATAAAAAAAATAAAATAGACATTAAAAAATGAACAATCTAGTTAGGGAAATAAGATACTGTATATAAAATAAATCTGATTTTTATTGGATGTCTGAGCATTTGAGATTATTAATCACTCCCTTTTTATTGTCTATCAGCTTCCCTGATAACCATTCTTTCCTGGTTCTTCTCATCTTTCAAATGATTCTTTTTGGAGTTCCTTCCTGGGGTCCTCTTCCTTGATACTTGATATTGGGGTTGCTGGTAGGCTTGTTATTTCCCTTAAATTATGTCTTTATTTTTGGAGACTTCATCCATTCTGTAGTTTTTAACACTTAAATGTTCATGGTTCCTTGGTCTATGTCACCACTTATAATTTCAGATTTGTATATCTAAGTATCTGTTGGACATCTTAGCTTGCTGAGTCAATAGGACTTATAAACTAAGCATATCCAAAACTAAACTTTATCTGTTCCTCCACCAAACCTGTCTTGTTTCTATTTTTTCCCTCATACTCTGCCTAGGAGTTGGCCTAGATTCTTCCTTCTGCCTGTATATATAATTGGTCACTAAGACCCTGCTGATTCTGCCTTTTTTTTTTCTTAATATATTATTTATTTGTTTATTTATTTGAGAAAGAGAGTGAGGGAGCAAGAGTGTGCAAGGGAGCACAAGCAGGGGGGAGGGGCAGAGGGAGAGGGAGAAGCAGACTACTGGACAGAGAGCCTGACCTGACCTGAAGGCAGATCCTTAACTGACTGAGACACCCAGGTGCCCCTGATTCTGCTTTCTAATGCTTCTTGATTCTTGTCTTAGCTGTCTCTATTATCACTTCCCCAGTTCATGTCTTCTTTGTTTCTCACATGATCATTTGCCTCCTGATTTTTTTTTTTTTACTTCAGTTTTACCCATCCCTTAAAACTCAAACTCCACATAGTAACCACTATGGTTTATCTAAAAACAAATCCAATCATGTTAGTTTCTTGCCATCCAGAATGTGGTATATCTGTTACTTTCCCTAGAGTGTAGTATGTCTATCATGAATAAGTATATGTATATTTAAAACAGTGCAAGCTTTTTTTAAAGCTATTTTTAAGTAACCTCTATACACAGTGTGGGGCTCAAACTTATAACCCCTAGATCAAGAGTTGCATGCTCTACCATTTGAGCCAGCTAGGTGCTGCTTGGATAATTTTATTTTTATTATTTTTTAAAGATTTTATTTATTTATTAATAAGAGACACTGACAGAGAGAAGCAGAGACATAGGCAGAAGGGAGAAGCAGGCTCCCTGCAAGGAGCCCGAGGCGGGACTCGATCCTGGATCCTGGGATCATGACCTGAGCCAAAGGCAACGCCCAACTGCTGAGACACCCAGGCGTCCCTTGAATAAATTTCTAGTAGTTATTTTTAAATGAATATTACAGAAATTTAACTGTCATTTCAAACCCATATTTTCATAGATACTGCTAAGGATAAGCTAAAGTAGATATTATATTTTAAAAAGTGAGGGTTTTTTTTTATTTTTAAAAATATTTTATTTATTCATGAGAGACACAAAGACATAGAGAGGCAGAGACATAAATAGGGAGAAGCAGTTTCCATGCAGGAAGCCTGATATGGAACTCGATCCTGGGACTCCAGGATCACGCCCTGAGCCAAAGGCAGATGCTCAACCACTGAGCCACCCAGGCATCCCAAAAAGTGAGGTGTTTTAGATGAAAATATCAATAGTTCAGGTAGAACATGAAAAAACCATGAAGATGATAGTTTCAGGAACACTGATCTATAGGATAAAGCTCACAGTGGTTGACATGATACCATATGGACCTTCCATAATTACCACAATTCCAGACTCATTTTTGCTACTCTAACAGTTCACACTCTGAATTTCTACAACTGAACTTCTTAGGAAGCTGTTTTGTGCATCTGTGCATTTACTCTTTTTTTTTTCTTTTTTAGGGAATTTTTAGAAATTGTGGGTTGTAACAGTAATATCACAGGGGGAAACAATTAAAATGATTCTAAGGTTTTCTTTCAGAAGCTCTCCTCTGCAATCCCCAAGAATGGTATTGGTTGCACTTTTATCTTAAGGTCTGAGAGTGGACTCTAAAAATGCGCTTTGTAAAATATAAGAACTAAACTCTGGTTTTGTTTTTATTTTTGTTCAGTGGCCCTCAGATTCTCAAGAGCTTGATTCTAAGGAACTGTCAGCTGGCTCTCAGTTTGTAGGCCTCATGGCAGTACTCACAGCATGTTTTTCAAGTGGTTTTGCTGGGGTTTACTTTGAGAAAATCTTAAAAGAAACCAAACAATCAGTGTGGATAAGAAACATTCAACTTGGTAAGTTTTAGGTGCTTTCTAATATGATTTTTTTAAATGATCATATTGTTAGATTTAAATATTACTACATATCGTTAAATAAATAAGCCACTCATGAAATCTGCCATTGATACAAATATCTGGCAAGATTTTTGCCTTTTAAAACATTATATTTTAAATGAATGCCTTTTACTGAAGAATATGGAATTTTAAGCCTGTGACATAAGGGTGTACATAGCCTGTTTCGGTCCTCACTATTTGAAGACTTAGGAACTTTATTCTTGATTGCTCAGTTCTCAGAGAAGATGTTACAAATAACCTATTTTCCTCCTGGAAAAGGAAATTAAAATACTTGGCAATTTCAATTATATGATACGGTGCTATCAACTGTTATCACCATTTTGTATATCAAGTACCCATGATATACATCTTAAATACCTTACAATTTTACTTGTTAATTTTACCTAAGTGAAACTGAAAAAGAAAAAAAAAAGATACTTAAATGGAGAAAGTTTGAAATGATGAAATTTTCATCTTTGTTTCAAAATCTTAATACAGGGGTGCCTAGGTGGCTCAGTCAGCTGCGCGTCTGCCTTTGGCTTAGGTCATGATCTCAGGGTCTTGGGATCAAGCCCTACATCGGGCTCCTTGCTCAGTGGAGAGTCGGCTTCTCCCTCTGCCTCTCCGCCTGCTCACTCCCTCTCTTTCTTTCTCTCTCAAATGAATAAATAAAATCTTTTTTTTTTTTTAATCTTACAGCTTTTATTTTAAAATGTTGTTTTAGAGATGCCTGGGTGGCTCAGCAGTTGAGGGTCTGCCTTCAGCTCAGGGTGTGATTCTGGTTCTGGGATCGAGTCAGGGAGCCCGCCTCTCTCGCTGTCTATGTCTCTGCCTCTCTGTGTCTCTCATGAATAAATAAACAAAATATTAAAAAAATAATAAAATTCTATGTTTTAGGCTTTAAATATATCATTTTTCTAACTGAAGGTGAATAGCTTAAAACAAGAAAAACACCTCATATATTGAAGGATTGCCTTTGAACAAATATTTAAACTATTTATATATAGTATTATAACCTTTAATTCCTCATACAAAGATTCCAGAATCTAGTATTCCTGGTATATATTCATTTTGGAAAATGCTACATGTGAGAGACAGCTCAGTTGCAGATCAACCATTCTATCTTAAGCCTGTTCTTGTGATTTTGGAGCTCATCTTTGAAAACATTTTTTTTCTGTCTATATCAACTTAATAAGTTATACCATGTCTCCTTTGGTAGCAGCAGACACTCCGTAGTGAATGTCTACTCTTAATGGCCTACATTTTAAGTCAAACCATCCCAAATTTGATTAGTCCATTTTCCCAGCGATTTTCCTTAATTTTTTAAAAAGATTTTATTTATTTATTCATGATAGAGAGAGAGAGGCAGAGACACAGGCAGAGACACAGGCAGAGGGAGAAGCAGGCTCCACGCAGGGAGCCCGACGTGGGACCCGATACCAGGTCTCCAGGACCACGCATCCAGGGATCCCCTAAACCTTCATTTTTATCACAGGATTTAAATTTGTAGAAATGTATCAAGCTGTTTAAGAATATTCAAAGTAAATACTTTTAAAGATTAAATTAGTTTCTTTTTGTTCATTTGTCTATAAGGCAAGTACAGGTGCCCCTGGGTTGCTCAGTGGTTGAGTATCTGCCGTTGGCTCAGGGCGTGATCCTGGAGTCCCAGGATAGAGTCCCACATCAGGGGGAGCCTAAATAAATATTTATTTCTTTAAATAAATAAAATCTTAAAAATTATAAAAACGAAAAGCCAGAATTCACAATTCTATGGTACTTCATGGGTTTCTTATTCTTTAATTTGACCTCAAAACACAGTTTAATGAGTGGTAAGCTAATTCAAAGTTTTGAAAAGGTTACATAGGTTGTAGATAACTTGAGATTACAGAAATGGAAATTAAAATATTTATTTTTAAAAAAGATTTTATTTGAGAGAGAGAGAAAAAGCACACCAGAGCATGTGCACACAAGCACATGCCTGAGCAGGGGCAGAGGCAAAGGGAGAGGGAGAAGCAGATTGCCCGCTGAGCACAGAGCCAACTCTATCCCAGGACCTGAGTGGAAGTCAGATGCTTAAGCAACTGAGCCACCCAGGTGCTCTGAAATTAAGACATTTCAATAATATTTTTCAAGTATCAAATGGTCAAAGATTAACAAATTGATAAGTTTCAATGTTAGCCAGAGAGTGGAGAAACAGGAACTCTTTATTACCTGTGGTTGCTTGGAGTACAGATTGGATAAAACCTTATTGGATCTCAAATTGGGAGCGTTTAAAATTTTTTTTAAATAAATGCTTTGATGCAAAAATTCCAATTCTGGATAAGAATTTATCCTACAGGTACACTTACACAAAGAGCACAAAGATGTTCAAGGTTATTTATTTTAGCATTGGTTATAATTGTAAAAAATAGAAAACATGTAGAAGATTGCTCAAATTATCGATATGATTAAATATCGGAGTCTAGCGGTTAAGATCATAGAATACAGAACCACACTGTCCGGATTCAAATCCAGAGTCCATCACTTATCAGCAGTATGAGCTCAGACACGTTTATTTAACTTCTTTGTGTATCAATTTCTTCATCTATAAAATGGGCGTAAGAGCACCTAATAGGATTGTTGTGAGTTTTTTCTTTTTTTTTTTTTTGGATTGTTGTGAGTTAACATACATAAAGCACTTAGAACAACCTGTGGCACATGATGTTACGTATTTATTTCATATTATTATTATTATCCATACAATGAAATATTGATACAACAAATACAACTGATAGAATGTAGTAGATCTGTACATACGGACATGTTTTGACCTTTTGTATATACCTTGTTTTATCATTATCAAGTGTATTTTTATTTATTTCTAAAAAGATTCATTCATTCATTCATTCATTCATTCATTCATTCATTCATTTATAGAACATGAGTGAGGGGAGGAACAGAGAGTGAGGGAAAGAGACTCCCAAGCAGATTCCACACAGAGCACAGAGCCCGACTCCAGGCTTGATCTCATGACCCTTCTGAGCCAAAACCAAGAACTGGCTGCTTAACTGACTGAGCCACCCAGGCTCCCCTCAAATGTTATTTTTTATAATTAAAACATAGAAAACTAATACCATCATAAGTGTTTCTTTTTTTTTCCCTAATTTTGTAAATTTGTATTTTCATGTTCAAATTAGACCTCTTAAAATGATTGATATACACCTGAAACTAATAGAACACTATATGTTAACTATACTGGGATTAAAATAAAAAAACGCATTCTCTCATGAATAAATAAATAAAAATCTTTAAAAAACAAAGACATAAATAAAAACCTTATTAAAATGATTGGGTTGTTATAAATAAAATTAAAAGAACATTTCATATACCTTTCAATTCCTTTCCATCATGGACTCTTCAAGTAGTTATAGCTTAATAAAAAAATACTGCTTCACTCTGCATTCTTTGACTACAAATATCACCAGAGTAGCCCTTAAGGCATCCATTTCTTTTTTTGTAGCTTAGGGTTGCCCCTGGAAATCTCTTTGATCCAGCAGGTCATTTGATAAATTCTAATTCTGTGGAAGAAGTAAGGAATGCATCAGTGGAAAAGATACAGTTTCTCCTCTCACTGAGCTGGCTTTTCTTAACAGTGAGACTTTAGAACTAATAGCTTCGGAAGTTGCCTATTTCTTAGCTTTGAATTTTTAGATACTACTTATTGTACTTTCATAACTTAATTTTTTTAAAGCTCTTCTTTATTTTTTTGAGAGAGAGAGCATGAGTCAGGGGGAGGGCTAGAAGGAGAGAGAGAGAAGCAGGCTTCCCGCTGAGCATGGAGCCGGATGCAGGCCTTGATCCCAGGATCCCAGGATCATGACCTGAGCCAAAGGCAGACGCTTAATCAACTGAGCCACTCAGGTGCCCCCCCCCCCAAGTAAAAGATTTTTAAAGTAGTTAGATTTTATTGAAAAGGAAAAGCTAAATATAAAATTATTTGCAATGTCAATGGAAAAATATCTCTCCGGACAGACTAAATGACACATGACATAAGCTTTATTTATTTATTTATTTATTTATTTAGGTTTCTTTGGGAGTATATTTGGATTAATGGGTGTGTACATTTACGATGGAGAATTGGTGTCGAAGAATGGATTTTTTCAGGGATATAACCGACTGACTTGGATAGTTGTTATTCTTCAGGTAAAGCATTTAAAGTCTTAATGCTAATAAACCTTATTTTAATGTATAGAATCAGAGTAGCTCCTGATGTATGATGTGAGGGGAAAAGAACCCTCTTGTTGGTGTTCTCATTATATTTAGTTTATTCTGGGAAGCTAAAAATAGAACTGGTCTTAATGCCATAATGAAAACTTACTTTGAAAAGGTCATAAATGAACTTTGTAGTATTTAAATTTGACATAATTAAAATCAAGTTGAAGAATAAAAGAGTTGAAGCTGAAGGCAAATATAAGCTTGATTTTCCTACAAATTCGTGTTATACAGGAAGTCTGTGATTAGCCCATTAAGGCTCAAAAGCAGATCTAGATATTTAAATCTGTAACAATTTATAGTCACATTATAGATACATATTAAAATATTCCTGTCAAATTATCTAAGTTTATAATTTGAAATTGTTCAAGGTTTAAGTAATTTCATTATCAAAATTATACTTGTTTACTCAGGAAGATATACAAGTGAAGAGAAAAGTCACTCTCCTCACAAAGCCTTTCTTTAGAGGTATTTGAAGCTGTGAGAAGCAAGGTCTTTTATGGAAGTTGGGTGAAGGTGGCAAAGGCTGGTTGTATTTTGAAAGCAGGTAGGATACTTCTATTCTTAAGATAGGAGAGAAGGAGACAAGAATAAGTGAAAATTTAGAGGAAATTTTAAGGAGAGATAGGGTAAGCAGGAGAGTTTGTGTGATGGCTCTTATTCTAGCAGAGAAAAGCTATCTTCCCCTAAGACTTGAGTAAAATAAAGAAGGTTTGGTACAGTTAACATGAGGGATTCATCAGGGACTAAATAGATGAATGAGTACATTGCCAGGAGGTAATGGGACTCAAACATCAATATGTAGTGAGCTCAATTGGCATAGTTTGTGACTTTTACTAATAATAAGCTTCTGTCATGTGAATAGGTATAGTGAAAGTTTTTAACATGGTAACCCAGATTTAGGAGTTTATACGTAGAAAACAAAGCAATGTAATGGTATAAAGCCTCATTATTTAAAGAGGCACAATTTGGAATTTGAGAGGGATTTATTTGGTAGAAAGTTCTTTCTACAGTTTTTTCAGGAAGGGTAATTTGACAGCAATAAGTGAATTGAATGGTAAGAAGCTGGAGGATGAACGCCAATTTAGGAGCCAACTGAAAGGCTAGAAAAATAAATTTCAAGTTACATTTTATTTTTACCTCAAAATAAAAACATTTTACTGATCCAAGTGACCAGTCTTTCCACATTTGTCTGAACAAGTGATGTTTAATTACTTAAATTGGTTGAGGATAGATATTTTATTCACAGTATAGTCAAACTATATTATAACAAGCCACACATTACATTGGTACTTCATGATACCAACAGGGCTGTGGAATAAAACCTGGAAGTCTGTTGGTTTTAGGATATCAATAAAAAAACTTATTATAATGTGATTGAATTTATAGGACAAAAGCCTAAAGCTTCATCGAGTAATGACATTGTTTTGAAAAGCAGTTTAATATATACTTGTTTAAAATAATCTTTTAAAACTTTTGCAGGCACTTGGAGGCCTTGTAATAGCTGCTGTTATTAAATATGCAGATAATATTTTAAAAGGATTTGCAACCTCTTTATCCATAATATTATCAACACTGATATCCTATTTTTGGCTACAAGATTTTGTGCCAACCAGGTAATATATTCTTTTCTATTTCTTTAAGTCTCAAAAATACATAGAAAAATAAGAATTCTTGATAGGATCTGGTATGAAAAATTTTATTACAGCTTTTGAAGAACCATGCAAATATAGTAAAAAATCCATTTAACTGTCTTTTAAAAAAGATTTCAAACCAAATACATAAAAGAAAATCTTGCACTAGAAAGTTATTTTGCAAATTTGACCAGCCAGAATTTTCCCAATAGGCTGGAAATTTTTTTCCAAACTTTTTTCCCCAAAGTAAAATATTGTATAACAAAGTTCCTAAGTCATATAAAGTTATAAAATAAGTCTTATAATAGCACTTTTATATGTGGGATTTATATAGGTAAAACCAGGGGAGTAGATGACATTTTCACAGAGGATGTGTGATGTCGTGATGCCAAGGGGGAGACAGAGTTAGGAAGAATGAAGCTGAATACCCATTACAGATGGTGTTGAGGGTCCTATTTTTTTTTTATAATTATTAGTTTATAATCCCAGAGTAGTGAGATTATATTTTAGTGGATTCCAGGATACTATTCTTGGTTTTCCTCTAACTCCACTCTCTCCCTCATTTTCTCAACCTCTAAACTTAAGAGTCTCCAAAGGATGTGTCCTTGAACCTCTTATTTGCACTCAGTCCCTTGGGTGATTGATCTCTATTCTCAAGGCTTTAAATACCGTCTTCCCTTCCTTTCCTTTTCCTTCCCTTCCCTTTCTTTCATTTTTCACATTTTTATTTGAATTCCAGGCTTGTATATTTAATTGCCTATTTGACATTTTCACTTGAATGTCTACTACATAATTCATTCCCTCTAAGGATTTCCCAATTTAGTAAATGGCAGCACCTCCATTCCTACAGCTGCTCAGGCCAAAACCCTCCTTGGCTTGAACAGAAACAGTTTATCCACAGTAACTAAGAGAAGGCAGAGTCTATAGACATGGAATAGACAGGCTTATAAAAGAAAGTTCAAATATATGGAAATTCTTTGTCTTAGTGAAGTAAGGAGGTCATCAACCTCTCTTTACCTTTCTCTCACACATCATTCTAATATAAAAATAAAGCCTATCAAGTCTTCCTTTTTAATATCTCCAGAGTCAGCCATTTCTCACAACTTCCCTTGCTACCACTTATTTATCATCTGCATTAAGGAATAGTCTCTTGATTTTTTTCCTTGCTTCTTCTCTTGCTCTGTGCCCCTACAATTTTCTCCATTCAGCAAACAGACTGATTATTTTCAAAGTAAATCAGATCGTATCACTACTGTGCTCAGAAACCTTCTCTTTTCCATATTACCAAAAAGTTGTCATTATTAATGGCCTATTTGATATGGCCCTCAGCTACCTTTCTATGCTCATCTGATATTACTTTCTTGTTCACTTTTTTTTTTAAAGCTACAGTAACCTCTTTGCTATGAGCTTTGACTTGCCCTTCAGTCATCATCTTGGAATACTCATCCACTGTGTATTCACATGACAAACTCTCACATCTTTAGGTTTTAGCTCAAATTTACTTTATAAGTAAGCAAGGCTACAGCTTGGCCTATAAAAGGTACTCTGTGTGTTTGAATGAATGTTGAAGATCTTAAAATTTTTTTTAGATCTTATTTATTTACTTGAGAGAGAGAGAAAGAGAGAGACAAAGATAGCGAGAGAGAGCAGGAGCAGGGAGGAAAGGGAGGAGCAGGGAGGAAAGGGAGAAGCAGGCTCCCCGCTGAGCAGGGAGCCCAATGCTGGGCTCCATCGCAGGACCCCAGGATCATGACTGAGCTGAAGGCAGACACTTAACCAACAACTAAACCACCCAAGCACCTCCAAGATCTTAAAATTTTAATACAACTAGTAAAGTTTATTTGTGTTACTGAGAGTAAGATAGGATTATGGATGGAATATGGCAGTAGAAAAACATAATATGCTCTTTTTATTTCTATATAGAACATTTATGGTTTCATCCTTTGAGCAACCTGGATGATAGGTCTGGGACACACATGTTGAAATGTGTAATATTTCTGAGACATGAATTTAAAAGTATTTGTTTCTAGTTTGGTATGGGAATGAATTCCTTAGCTAGCAAGACTAGCTTAACAACTAAGATCTACATCTTCATGTGTTTTCTCTATTCATTAAATGGGGAAATTATTCGCTTCTATATTATTTGAGAATGTTTGGAACTTTAAATTAGTTTAGATATTTTGGAACTGTATTTTTTTCTAAAATTATTTATTTGACAGAGAGAAAGCACAAGCAGGGGGAGTAGCAGAGGGAAAGGGAGAAGAAGGCTTTCTGCTGAGCAGGGAGCCCTACACAGATTCGATACCAGGACTCTAGGACCTGAACGGAAGGCAGACGGCTTAATTGTCTGAGCCACCCAAGCACCCCTGGAAGTATAGATTTTTAGAGTACATATGAAAAGGCATACCTTTAAAAAATAAAACCTCATATAAAGCTGAGTCAGGGTATTAACTCTAAATCTTTGAATCATGCAGGGAATAAACAATAAGCAAGTAAATGAAAAGATAAATCAGTAGAGGGACAAAAGAGTACTAGTTTGTCAATAAGATACACCTGCATGTAAATCTATGTTTCTGAGGGACTGTGTAAGGTAAGTTGGAAAGACAAGAAAAGACAATGATTCTGTTATTATTAAATGAATGAATGTTTTGACACTGAGTCAGATGAAAGAAATGGATTATTTTTCTTATAGTTTAATTAGACCCTCTATGTATTCTGTTTTTGTGAAGAACATCTCTTAAGCAATAAATCCAATGATCTTTATTCCAAATGTATTAATATATTCTCCTTTATCCCCATGTCACTTCCTAAAACTGCTTTGTTTTGTTTTGTTTGTTGTTTTCTCAGAAATGGTACCCCTGACTGCTCCTTTGGTAACCTATCAATCCTTACTCACTCTCTCGTTCATTTCATCCACTGCCATGTCTTCTTGTTTGTCCTGTCTATGAAGATAAGTCCCAACTTCAACTCTAGATCCCTATTTTCAGCTGACTGCTAGGTATCTCTATTCCCTTTCCTAACTTATTTTTCTTGTGTTGATTACATTGCTTATTGATACCATCCTTGCATTTAGGCTTGTTTATTCTTTTATCAAAAATTTATTAAGTGTCCACTATGTACCTTCCTTTCACTGTACCAGATCCTGGAAAAACAGAAATGGGTGAATGAGATATGGTTTCCTCTCTTAGAGGAGAGCACAGTGATTAGAAAGACAGACATGTTAATAAATGAGAACTTTATGATCAGTGCATCAGTACAGTTCTGTTGGAAATCAGGTGCTCAACTCCTTGAAATAATCATTGTATTTGAATAGTTTTTTCCCCAACATTTTTTTTTCTCTCAGAACCATCTAAAAATGGCTGTCTTGACAAGCAGGAGATTTCCTGATGTATTAGGTGTTCTAGTAGATCCTGTTAGGAATTTCATAGAATGGATTCCTACAGTGGGTAGGAAATCAGATCAGACAACTTTTCAGTTGAGGATATGGTTCTGTGTAATCCAGAGGTCCAGAAAGCCAGGCAAAGGTTAGAATGCCTGATGAAGAAAGTTTTAAGTCAGAAACTTAACCAAAGCTTAAATAATTATGAAATATTCCTATGGTAATAATTTTCCTCAAGAGATATTAAAGGAATTTTTTTAAAAGATTTTATTTATTTATTCATGAGAGACATAGAGAGAGAGAGGCAGAGACACAGGCAGAGGGAGAAGCAGGCTCCCTTATGCAGGGAGCCTGACGTGGGATTCGATCCCGGGTCACTGGGATCACGCCCTGGGCTGAAGGCGGTGCTAAACCGCTGAGCCACCTGGGCTGCCCTAAAGGAAGTTTTATGCTATCTTAATCTTACACATGTACCTATAGCCAAGGCTTTTGAAAGTTTTGTTGCCCATTTACATCAAGCTATTAAACACTAAATATTTATTACAACAGACAGTTATTGAGTTCCCTCTATGTCCTAGGCACTCAGGTATAAAGATGAATGAGGAGCACATGGTTAAGCATGTGCAAACATGTAAATAATGTATTATTTAATACGGTGTAACAAATGTTCTCATAGAGTACCTCTGCCTAGGGTAGTGAGTCTTGGAGACATTAGACCTCAGTTATGAATAATCAATTTTCTTTGGAGAATGGACATGGCAGGCAGAGGGAGTAGCCTCTACAAGGGCACTGTCCTGAAAGGCACACAGTGTTCACTGAATGGAGTGGCTGAATTATAGATTGGGTGGGTGGAATATGGGAGATGAGTTTGGAGGGACCACATTAGGAGAGGCCCTTTATGTCATAATAAGGTCTGTGATCTTTTCCCTTTATGAAACAAATGTTTGTTGTTGTAAAGCATGAGAGTGACTTTGAATTGTTATAGAACCTTTAAAACCAAGACTAACTCATGTCCCTGTAATAGCACTTTAAAGAATGTGCATCTTGAAAGTTAAGATTGGTATTCAGTTTATCTCCACTTTAAGTTCCGTACCAGTTTATTTCCTATTTATAAGGTATATTATATCAATGAATTGATAAAATGAAGAATAAACCAAATGTACCTTCATTTAATCAAATTTCCTTTTCTAAAGCATCTCCTATGAAATTGGTCCTGAGTTTTATTACTACCTTAGATTTTAAACTGAACTTTGCTAAACAAACAAAAACCTGAACTTTACTTTGTTCTAAAAAGAATGTCATTTTTTGGTTATATTTTCAAATATTGTAGGAAAAAGACTTAGTAAGGAGAAATACATTTATTCATTATTATTATTTAAAAAATATTTTATTTATTTATTCATGAGAGGCACAGAGACAGAGGCAGAAACATAGGCAGAAGGAGAAGCAGGTTCCATGCAAGGAGCCTGATGTGGGACTTGATCTCGGGAATCTAGGATCACGCCCTGAGCCAAAGGCAGACGCTCAACCACTGAGCCATCCAGGTGTCCCGGGGAAATACATTTAAAACATCTTTACTTTCAGAGACAATATAGTGCGGTGGATGAAAGTACAAGCTCTACAGTCAAATATACCTAGATTTGAATCTCATTTTCTACTTAAAGTTGTAAGATTTTACGCTAGTTACTTAAACTCTCTAACCTTCAGTTTCCTCATATATACAAAAATAGGGACAATACTAATACTTCTTCGTAGGGTGGTTATAAGAACTAAATGAGATGCATGTAAAACACATGGTTTGAGTACCTAGAATGTACTAAGTATTCAGTATTTGTAATAAGTACTCAGGATTTTTTAGCCATATACTAGAACATTTTTTCCCAAATTATAATTATTTTTACAAGTGAAGAAATAGAATTTGTTTTGCTTTTAATCTGATTTTCTCTTTTTCATTTTTTTCTTTATCTATTTAGTGTCTTTTTCCTTGGAGCCATCCTTGTAATAACAGCTACTTTCCTATATGGTTATGATCCCAAACCTACAGGCAATCCTACTAAAGCATAGTCGTATACTATCTTTAACTGGTTTTTCACAATGGTGCACTAGGAATCTCAACATTAATCTTGCATAGAGGACTTCTACAGATTCTAAGAAGATATCATCATGCTGAATCTCATCATATTGTTCAAATGGTTTGAAAATATAAAAGTTTAAGGATAAAATATATGTATATGTTAACGAAATACCTATTACATCTAGATATCAAAGCTTGAAAGTATTTCCAGGGATTAGAATAATTATTGGAGAAAACTTGAAATCTGAGTTTAAAAAGATTTTACCTTTTGATTGCTGCAGAAATGTTCTATGCACTCTTTGCAAGAGCACACAACAAATATCAGATACCAATTTTTGCAAGTTAGATCTATTTAACCTTATTAAATTTTTTTATCTTTTTCTGTACAGAAATATCAAATCACATGGAATATTCAAAGTTTGAAAATTATAATTGCCTATTAAGCTGTGAATAGAAGTATGATTTGAATAACATTTTCATGTATCTGAGATTTTTATATTTATACAAAAGATTACTAAAAGGATTGCTAAATGTCATTTGTTCAACTACATAAAATGATAAGGTTATATTCTGGGTCTAATTTGTGAGAAAATAAAATTCATATTTAAATTTAATGTAGGGAAATACATCTATTTCTCCATCTACATTTTAAGATCTTTTAGTGCTTTGAAACTGCTGAAAGCAATCCAGTTGCTCCTGTGCTAGATAGTAGCCAGATTTTGCACTAATGGAGTTTTGTCTTTAATCTCTTAATTGCATTTCTTTTCTGTAAATCAGATAAATCCTTAATATTTCTTTAAATTAAGCTTCTGTATGTGTAATTTCCATTAAAGTTTCAAAATGTAATTTAAAAGGATTAAATACTCATTTAATAATTTAAAATAATTATTGTCTAATATCTCCATTTGGAGAATTTTGAACTATCAAAGTATATACTGTATACAACTAGAATGTTTTTAAATGAATATTTTAGTCATTGCTCTGTAAAAAATTTCCCTTAATCTACAACTGTTAAAAAAAGCAACCAAAATAATTATAGTATAGATGTCAATAAATTGAGACCAAAATGACCTTTCTTAGAGACATTCCAGATTGCCATGATATTACATTATTTTAAGTGGCCCTAATAAAGCTGTAAACTGAAGGCTGCTGAGAAGGACCTTTTAGGCCTCTCATAAATCCACCCTCCCCAGGAATACTCTGGTCACATGTCTGGGAGAGGTAGCAAATTCCGAGTTCCCTTTCTGTGACCCTATAAAAGCTGCTGGGAAGGAGCCACCACTTTGATTTAAAATAGTGGTTTCTTTTCCATTTTAATTAGCACTGGAGTTGAAGTTGTAAATTACATGAATTATTTAATAAGTTGTTTCAAGAGAGAGAAAATATAGCAAAAATGGTAAGGTGAATTGGTGGGCAAGAACTTTCTAAAATTGGGTTATGGGTTTAATTTAATTATTGACTATAGGTAGAATTACAAATTGTGTATAAGAAGTATTTTACTTTATTTTTTCATTCATGCTTTATATATTTTTAAAGTCTCCCATTCTAATAATATAAAAATGGTAAAAAAAATAAATATTTTTGTATAGTTATGATGGATTTTGTTAAATAGAATTTGGCTCAAAAATACCATGTTACAAACTTTTGGGTACTTTGGCTTATGGGACTGGCTGTGTTACTTTGCTTATGCAAACCTAGTCTCTATAGGACACAGGCCTAATCTATTCCATTCAGAGTTCACAAGTGTTTAAAGTGACAAAATAGGGACGCCTGGGTGGCTCAGCGGTTGAGCATCTGCCTTTGGCTCAGGGGGTGATCCCAGAGTCGCGGGATCGAGTCCCACATCGGGCTCCCTGCATGGAGCCTGCTTCTCTCTCTGCCTGTGTCTCTGCCTCTCTCTCTGTATGTCTCTCATGAATAGATACATAAATAATATTTTAAAAATTAAAAATTAAATAAAATGACAAAATATCTTAAATCAATTTGCTAGTGATTACAAGTTGAAACTAACCAAATTTTCTGGAAGCCTGACCTATGATTTTCAGTCACCACCTTTGAGAGTATTTGTTTAATAAATTTACCACATTACGAGCATGGTGCTTTTAGATTGTAACTGCATTCAGACTTACATCTTACTGTCTACTGCTGAGTGAAATCTAAATCCTGCAAATGCAAAGAATTCAAGAGTAAATACAAAGATTTATCTTCGGCCCACATGGGAGTACTAGTGGGGTACTAATATATATTAATTCAATGTACATTTATAACTAATTGTTAACTCAGGCTTAGTCTGTCCCTTAAAAAAATGATAAAAGCAAATACTGGCTATCAGACATGTTAATTACCATAATATATTTTCAGGTGTCCAAGATAACAGAATTTTCAAGATTCTCAATTAAGCTTGTAAAAATATAAGCAAGATTTGTGAGAAAGGACAAAGTGGTCCAAAGCACATTTTCAAACCAAACTTTTATTAGACAACTTAATTTATATCTTGCTTTTCTAGAGGGTTTGAAGTTGTTAAAAGAGATTGGGTTGTGTAGCTTATAATTTTTAATTCATAGAGAAGGAATCGTATTTGAGAAGGTGAGCCTGTTTGTAGACCATGTCATTTTAACAGATAATGCCATTTGTGTGTGTGTGTGTGTGTGTGTGTGTGTGTGTGTGTGTGTGTGGTGTTTTGATGACCTCCAAAAGCCTTATTGTATCAATCTTAAATAATGATGACTTCTTGATTATTTAAATTCTTACTTTTAAAAGTTTACTTGTTATCTCTCAACTACTTTGTTCATTATAAAAATGTCCTAATTCATGGGAGAGGAGTGCCAGTTGATAGTTCTAATAAAAATTAAGAATATGGTATTTGGGAAGAAAAGTTTGAAATTCAACATTTAGATGTTTCAATACAGTAAAATCACCAGTTTTTTAATAAGTGATTTTAGGGAAGCTGTAGGCTACTTTTATGGTGGAAATTGTAGTTTAGAGATGCAAAACTTAAATGTTTACATCAATTTATTTTGAATGTCACAGTTTCATTGAAGGAAAGGTAGTTTGATATTTAAACTAAATTCTAAGGAGACAGAATCTGAAAAGAAACCAATTGACTTCGTGCCCAGTAGATTCAGTGTAATACTGATTATTAAGAATTGCTACACTTTTCCTACATATCAAATTACTAGACTTTTAAAATGTCATTGTATTGTCATTCAACTGAGTTTTGTTTTTAAAAATGTTTTATAGCATCATTTTATTTACACTTTCATTGTTATAATATTTAATACACATGGATGTATGCTTTACATAAGAAAAGGTTTATGAAAGTTATTTATGCTATATTGAAAGTCATCTTAATAATCTCCCAGTTATGTAGCATATTTAAAATAATTACAGGACCAAAGAAAAAGCACCTTTATCAAAATCTGGTCCTATGTGCCTTGCTTTACCAAATACCTGACTTTTCTGGAGGATATTACTGTAATTCACAACTTTGGACACATGGGGAAATTGACATTTTACGAATAACTATAATTCAATTTTTTGGATGTTTCAACATTTGCTCTTTAAATCTATTATCTAACAATGTTTAAGTATATAAGCATTAGTAAACAATACTTATTTAAATAAATTATGCACCGTTGCTCCATCACTGAGCTTTTGAAACTTTAACAAAGGTATATAGCCTTCATTTGGTTGTTTTATTTCTTATTATAAGATATAATTTACTGTGATTTTTAAAATATTTTTTTAATGATTTGACTTTTGAATTTATTCGTATGTCTCTATTTCATTTGTTTGGAAAGATTTCTTTGAGTTTGGGAATGTGATTTGTATATTTAATTTTTTATGGACATAATTTAGAGGAATGTATGAAAAATTGGTCTTTTGTTAAATGGCTTTTTAATGGATCAATTTCTCTTTGTCGTTTTTTGGTATCCAGTTATTATCTATTTAGTAGATTTATGAAAAAGATTTTCATAATTAACTATATAAATTTTTTCCTATATTTCCTTGTTTCCCTTTTCACCTGTTTGATTTAACTATTAATTAGACTCTTCTATATATATCAAAAATGACTCCCTGATCTTTTCTATACCTCTCTAGTTACCTTTATCATGTGTGATCTTCATTCCTTTTTTCTAGCCTATGCTTTAGCATGGAAGACTGGGTTTTATTTAAACTAGTTAGAACTTCTCTGTGTGATAATAGCCTAATTTTTTTGTTGTTGTTGTTGTTTTAAATAAATTATCTCTTTGCTAGCCTCAAGGTTAAGTGATTACAGTAATTGGTATATATTTTCTTCATAAATCATTGAATATAGTTGCTTCTTTGTGACTGTCAATTCAGTGCATAGACATCAAATGATAAGCAATATGAAGGATTTCATTCATTTCCATCTCTATTAGTGAAATAACCTTGTACAAAATGCTTTGTTTTAAAGTTCACTAAAGACTATCAGCATTTAATTTATTTATTTGAGAATATCAGCATTTAAAAATGCATACTTTGGTTTCTTTTTGTGAAGAGCATTAACTGAAAATCTTTACATCTTTTTGGAATTGGAATACTTCTTTTGTTGGAAGTATATCATACTCCTTGAATTCCAATGCTATGCAAATACACCTCACAATCGAATCTTACAGATAATTACTGCCATTCAACAGATAGTGACCAGCATTAGTAACTAGTCTTTCTTAAGGTCCTTAAAAGTTTTGAATTGTTTCAAAGCAGGATTGATTATAACATACATATTCCAAAAACGAAAACAGCAAAGAGGAAATAACTTGCCTTTAAATCCTAAAGATGTGAAATTCTGGTATAGTAGAAGAGTCTTGGTGACTGCAAATTCAGAGGTTTCCCAAATTTACCTTTAGGTTCAATAATTCACTAGAAAGACAGAACTCACTGAAAACTATTATACTCACAATCACGTTTTTTTTACCAGGAAAGGATGCAAATTTGAACCAGCCAAAGGAAGAGACATATAGGATAAAGTCTAGGAGGGGTCCAACTCTAGTTGTCCTTTCCAGTTGTTTACTCCCTTTGGGGTCATGGACAGTTATCTATTTCTGGCCATAGTATACACACAGTATTGCCGATCAGGAAAGCTCACTCATGTTTTGGTGTCCAAATTTTCATTGAAACTTTATTGCTTGGAATGACTGATTCTTTGCCTAGATGGTTGAACTCTCCAGCCCTTCCCCTCCCTGGAAAACTGGCTGACATCAGGTTACAGAGGCTCATCTTCAGTCATCTGTTAGCATAAATATTCAGGTGTGAGGTCCTAAAGATGTAGTCCAGAACTTTCTTCGGGTAAGGCCAAATTCCTTACACAGTGGCCATTTATGTCTACACACATTCTTCTGAACTGATGAGGATGACACCAGCGATGACAGTTGTTTATAGAGACTTTTATACTTAATTTCAGAAATGTTGTCAAATGATTCTCAACTTATGATTTGAGTGTAGAAAAACATTTATAATCAGATATAGTGCTAAGGAGCACATATAGTATTTATTGAGTTTTTAGTGCTGATGTTTAATGACTATTAAATGCAGAGCTATTTTTTAAAGAACAAATTTAAAAATTAATTTATAAACATACTGTATATTAATATACAATTTTGAGCTTTTATTTTTTTAAGATTTTTTTTTTTATTTACTCGAGAGACACAGAGGTAGAGACACAGGTAGAGGGAGAAGCAGACTCCCCGTGGGGAGCCTGATGTGGGACTCCATCCCTATACCTGGGATCACTCCCTGAGCTGAAGGCAGATGCTCAACCAATGAGCCACCCAGGCATCCCGAGCTTATTTTATTTGTTTATTTATTTTGCCACTTCAGGCATTAGAACATAAATGCCTCTCTGGAAGGATTTCTTTTTCTGGTACTTTTTTTTCTTTTTTCTTTTCTAAATTTATTTGACAGAAAGCACGGGCAGGGGGAGCACCAGCCTACTTTGGCTGACAGTAGGCTCACTATTAATTGATAGGTCCACATTTCCCCTAATCCTTTGCTAGAGTTAAGCATCAGCCCTCCATTGGATCTAACCAATTTTTTATTTATGAACCTATTTACATTTATTCGTTTAGGATTTCTAATAGGTAAAAATAACTCCTTTAAAACAAGTAACGGGATCCCTGGGTGACTCAGCGGTTTAGCACCTCCCTTCGCCCGGGGCGTGATCCTGGAGTCCTAGGATCGAGTCCTGCTTTGAGTCCTGCTTCGGGCTCCATGCATGGAGCCTGCTTCTCCCTCTGCCTGTGTCTCTGCCTCTCTCTCTGTGTCTCTCATGAGTAAATAAATAAAATCTTAAAAAAAAAAGTAACATATTATTCCTTTGGAAATAGTTTACTTGAGTTACACATTTTCAACCTTTTAAAAATAGACTTCCCTGAAAATCTAAAAGAAGAATGGATATAGCTACAATGGGGGGTAATCATCTGAAAATACACTCTTACTAAAATGTGCATTAAATATAAAGTATTTAAGGAGTTTAGCTAAATTTGGCAAATCAAACTTACATATTTGTAACAAAATTGTGAATGTGCTTCTTTTTGTTTGCTTTTCTTAAGATTTTTTTATTTGAGAGAGGGAGTGAGTACAAGTGGAGGGAGGGGCAGAGAGAGAAGCATACTCCCTGCTAAGGAGGGAGCCTGACATCAGGCTCCATGTGGGGCTCAATCCCAGAATCATGATCTGTACCAAAGGCAGATGCTTAACCAACTGAGCCACCCAGGTGCCCCAAGTGTTTTTTAAAAGACACTGTGTAAAAAATAAAATAAAATAAAATAAAATAAAAAAATAAAAGACACTGCGTATACAAAAACATGTTTTCTAATGATTGAGGGCTTACATGGTCTCCTTTATTTTATTTCATTGTTTTTTAAAGATTTTTTTTTTTAATTCATTCATGAGAGACACAGAGGCAGAGACACATGGGCAGAGAGCGAAGCAGGCTCCCCACGGGGAGCGGAGCGCGATGTGGGACTTGATCCCAGGATCATGCCGTAAGCCAAAGGCAAGACGCTCAACCACTGAGCCACTCAGGTGCCCCTTATTGCCATTTTAATAGCTTCAATCATGCTATGACAAATTTTGCCAGCTTAGGTTTCAAAAATTCATGGGTTATCTCCATGCATTCACAAAGTAATCATTGTTAAAGACGTTTTCATTTAAATTTCTTCAGTTTTTCTTTTCTTTTTTTTTTTTTTTTTTTTGAGCAGCCACCATTGTCCTCCGCACACCGTGTGTGGAAGTAAGGCTGCCGCTCTGGGCTGAGCCAGTTTTTCATTTTGAAAAAAATTACATTTTTCAACATAAAAGTTGAAAGAATGTTGTACTCATTTACTCTCTACCTAAATACATAACCAACATTTTTCCATACTAGCTTCATCAGGACCCTTGACTCCTAAAATACTTCAGCATGCATATCCTAATACTAAGGACATTTTCGTATTTAATTCAATACCATTATCATACTCAAGAAAATTTAAATTAATTTTATTGTATCATCTAAGTTCATATTCAGATATTTGTTTTTGAGCCAGGATATAATTGAGGTTTCATGCTTTGTATTCGATTGTTTTATTAGTCTAGAAGATCCTTCCCTGCACCCCTTTGGCTTTTTTTCACCCATGATGTGACTTTTTAAAGAATCTAAATCACTTAGCTCCTATCCTTGATCTGTCTGTATCCTTTGACTTGTTCCCTTTATTCTTTGTATTTCATTTTAACCAGAAGTGGAGTCTGTAGGTTTGATTAGCTTCAGCTTGTTTTTGGAAAGAATTATTTCATAGATGATTTTATAGATTTTGTATTTTATCACACTAAAGACAATAATCAATCATTTGGTCAAGGTGTTGACTACCAGGTCTTTCCATTGTATAGGTCATTTTTTTTCTACTTGGTAATTAGTAACTTCTAAAGCAAAGTTTTGGCACCATGGGAATACTCTTTACCTACCAGTCCTTTTGTTCAATAAATTAAGCATCAATTGATGATTCTTAGCTGAATCATTTATTATACTACACTGAGGTGCAAAATGGTGATTTAAATTTTTTTTTTAATTTTCAGGGGCACCTGGGTAGCACAATCAGTTAAACCTCTGACTCTTGATTTTGGCTCAGGTATGATTTCAGGGTCATGAGATAAGCCCTGAGTGGGACTCCATGGTGGGCCTGGAGCCTGCTTATGATTCTCTCTCTCTCTGCCTCTCCCCCTTCTTTTGCACACACACTCTAAAATAAAATAAAATACATTATAAAAATTGAAATTTTTAATTTTCTAATTTTTTTCTGCTTTTATTAGTTTATATTCTATTTTAAAAAAGACTATTTCCCTTTTCCCAATGTCCACTCTTCTTTCAAATATCACTAGATCTTCAAGTTATTCAGTGTATCATAGTCAATTAGAGTCACAGTTCTTTTTGTTTTTTTTTAAAGATTTTATTTATTTATTCATGAGAGAGACAGAGAGAGAGGCAGAGACACAGGCAGAGGGAGAAGCAGGCTTCATGACGGGAGCTGAACACGGGACTCGATCCTGGGTCTCCAGGATCACGCCCTGAGCCAAAGACAAGACGCTCAACCACTGAGCCACCCAGGCATCCCTACAGTTCTTTTTGATGTGAGCCAACAGCCAGTAGAAATCACTGCAGGCCAGCTCCTGTGTCTTTTAGACATGACCATATTAGTCTGTTTTTCCTTGCTTCAGTAACAAGATGTCCCAAACCTCGAAAATCAGCTATTTCTCCAAGGAGCCTATTGTTTTTAGGGGGAATGGAATCTGGACTCTGTTTACTTTTAGACCATTTCAGTGGACAGAGCTAGAAAGTAAATTTTTTAAAAGTTCATGAATTCAAATTGATACCTAACATTAGTTCTTAATTTTATATTTGCCTCTCTTT